TCCTAATTTAATAACGTTATACGATTGACCCCCCCCCCCCTTTTCCACAACTGCCTACACATCCATTATTGCCGCGATGAAAAAGTGTCCCGGAAAGCCGTCCAAAAATTATGGCATGTATGCCAAACAGTGATGTTTTTTTGAGTGATAAAATCACTATTTGGGATATATTATTACTTAATTAATATTTATTTTCCCAGGGAAATTTCATTATACATTATATCACCGGAAATCTTTTTTATATCAATGATGTTTGCAAGTATGTTTTATATTATAATTATATTAATAAAAAATAATATATCCCAAACAGTGATTTTATCGCTCAATAACATCACTGTTTGGAGTTCGGATGTGAGGAATTATATCATGAGGGTGTAGCCCGAGTGATATAATGATGCACATTCGAACAAAAGCATTTGCGCCTGATTTGTTTCCGTACTTATTTTCAGCGTGTCAGATTTTTAGTGGTTACCTCACGTGTATAATGATTACGTCACATGTCTAAATATAGAATGTCAAACATTGCATCTGTTGCATAATAACACACACTTTCTGTTCTTCTATGTTCAATAGGGTAAATGCCGGTCATGTTAGAATATATTATAACCCATAATGCATGGTATTTATTATATATATTTATCAAATTGAACAAAAGGTGGTTAAAAATTGAGCTTGAAACTTTCAGGGCCGAAACGTCCAGGAGGTGCAAAGTCCTGAAACATATAGATTTAGCCCTTGTCTGGAAAAAATGTTGGGCTACCGGTCTGCAATGTATGTTTTTTTTTATTTAAAAAGGTCATGTATTAATTTTGTTCACCTGTATGTAAATGATTTGATAATTTTATCGCTGACTTGCTAAAGTTACTACCATTCGTTTTATTTTGTTTACGCCAGAAGCGGTGTCGAAGTAATTATTATCTATCTAAGAGATTCCTGGTATAAAGCAAAGTATTTTTTTCAGAAATGTGCGTAAAGACGACCCTGTTAAATCATTTTTAATGCATGTTTTAGCGCTTGATGGCTTATAATTTCAATAATCATTTGTTTAGGCTGCCCGACAAAAAATAATATTGTGCCAGCTTGAGTGCATTCGCGGATTGATATCATTACAGCTCTAACCTGGGACATAAGATAAGTTAGTTAACATAAACCCGTTTAAAATACATGAATGGCTAGCTATTATTTAATCAAATCACTAAACGATCTTGCTAAAGTTGTTAAAAAATTTATATGATAAGGATATTTTATTAACGTTTAGAAACGTTTTCTATTTTGCGTGCGTTTTAGCGTGCGTATATTGTTTAGCGTATTTCATTTTGCGTGCGTCTGCGTATTTCGTTTCATAAAGCATGCGTGGTACATGCGTTCGTATAGCATGTAATGTGCGTGTGTTTTTTCCAGAATGTGCGTTTTGCATGTAAACTGGAACATTCACCCTACTGTATCACATACACAAAATAAAGACCATTAAAAGAGAAATAAGAGTAGTTTTTCATTTACGCGCCTATAGTATAATGCTAACATTTAGCGCGTCTTTACACAATGTTTGTATAACGCTAATGACGTCACGTCAAATTATATGCACGGATGTGCAATACCATATTTACTGAGTGGCAAAATCGGCAGGGCCACCGGTGTGTCTGTGATAAAACATATTAATACATATTAAGCGCATGTCAATAAATTTCAATTTTAAGTGATATGAAAAATATTTTCTGTTGTGCTGTCTTTGTAAATCAAATAACTTCACATCACAACCAGTTTCCTTATTTTCCTCATTTTTTTCCTCTCAATTACAGTTTCAGACCTAAAATAAAATTATGTTCTTAATATTATATATACTCATATATTGTAATGCCCTAGAAATTTTACCTTTTTTAGTGATTTCACTGGATTTCAGTATTGTTTATTTCTACTTTCACTTTCGTTTTGAGAAGCTTTTACTGGCGACAACACAGTAAATATTGCGACGTCCCAATGAAACATACAGGAAATCAACTTAAATCTACGTATTGTGCCAGCAATTAAATCATTCTTGATTCTGGAAGCTTTTCCCTTTAATGTTATCCATTTCCCTGAATGTTATCCGTGGTAGAATCCTGTGTTTTTAAGGGCAGCACGAAATACCCAAATATACCCAAATACACCCAAATATACCCAAATATTGCCCAAATATACCCAAATATTGCCTAAATATACCCAAATATTGTCCAATTATACTAAAAATAAATGTTTTATACTAAAAAAGTGCTGTTTTAATCATGAATACAATATACACTTTCACTAAGATATAATCAAACATACCCAAATATACATTTTCCTATCATTGTGTTTTGAACCAAGATACAGTATATGTACTCTATTAAAGCTATTTTTTTAATAACATGGACATTCTTCTTCTATATGATATGAAATTTCAACAAAATTACACCTTAAAAAAGAAAGTGTAGACAACAAATATCATATCTCGAATTAAAATTGCATTCATAAAGAAGCGATATAATTTGTAGATAAGCAAATGTCACAACTTTATTTTCTTACAACATCTTAACTGCCCATTTCAACGGAATGAATGAAAGTTATAGCAGGCTAAGTCATATTATTTTATAAATATTTATTTATTTCTCATTATAATCTATATTTTATACAAACAAAAATAAATATTGCTATATTTGGGTATATTTGGGCAATATTTGGGTATATTTGGGTGTATTTGGGTATATTTGGGTATTTCGTGCCGCCGGTTTTTAATCTGTTTTCGTGACTTCTGTCAAAATAGTTCATTCCTCTATTTTACACTCAAGATTATATAGTTCGATTGTTTATGATGCATCCTCACTTAAAATATAGATTTGCCTCATAAATCCATCTGAATTTAATTGTTAGCACTGTATATTTATGAAAAATTGCAATGCATTTTCAATGTCGGCCATGTTGGACTATTACGTAGAGATTAACGTAGTGAATGCAAGGGATAGTTCTTTATCCGATTGCGCATAAAAAGGAACACGTTACCCTAACTATTTTACTTTCGATATTAGCGCATGATAGCTTATAAATATTTCTAAAAATCATTTGTTGAGGCTGTGACAAAAATTAATTTCGGTGCTAGGTTGAGTGCATTTCAGTTCTTACATAAACTCGTTTAAAATATACATTTCTAGCTACCATATATATGATAATCAAAATTCTTCATGTAGCTATTAAAGTTGTTAAAAACTTAAAATGATTACGATATTTTAATAAAGGTTTAGAAACGTTTTCATTTTGCGTGCGTTTTAGCGTGCGTATATCGTTTAGCGTATTTCGTTTAGCGTATATCGTTTTGCGTGCGTCTGCGTATTTCGTTTCGTTTTGCGTGCGTATAACGTGCGTCCGTATAGCGTGTATCGTGCGTTCGTATAGCGTGTAACGTGCGTTTTGCGTGTTAACTGACACGTTCACCCTACTGTATCTTGAAGGCATGTTCTTTACTTAGATTTACCTTTGAGTGTATGGTGTCCCGCCATAACGGAGCTTTTGTTAATAAATGTGAAAATGGGTAAATCAGAGAGTATTGTACGAGTATATGAACCCCCCCCCCCCCCCCCCCCCCCCCCCCCCCCCCCCCCCCCCCCCCCCCCAAAAAAAAAAAAACCCACAAAAAAATTCTTTGTCGCAACAAATTCTTTGTCGGACAAAAATTAAAAAGATTAAAAAGAAAATACACTTACAATGTTGCCGATCATAAAGCTTAAACATAATTATCACAGATGAAATAAAAAAAAAAGTAGCTTTCTCAATGTAAGCTGTCAAATTAAATGCTACATTGGAAATGAAACAACGTATTCTAAATATTTAACAGCAACAGAACATTGCTTTAAACCGTGAATGATCAGTTTTTATCAAGCGCAAGTTATGATTCCGTAAAATAGACCTATATTGGCAAAATTATACTTGTCAAAAATATAACTGTGTCATTTCATATTTTCTTTTCAACTGCGTCATATTAGTTTAAACATATTTTATTTCAAACATTTTCACACAAACAATTATTACATACAATCATAAGTTACATAAACAATGCTGAAAAAGGATTAGATCCGAAAGCATACAATGCTTATAGAGGTCTTTTCCTAACATATAATTCATTACTGTAAATTCGGCGGTAAATTACATGTTCGAAATAGTATATCATGAAACATTTTATTGATGATGAATGAAGAAAGACGAGGACGGCAAAAGTTTCTATTCAGAGCTAAAAGTAAAAAAAAATAAGTAGTTTGAAATAAGTTAGATAGGAAATCATGCTATAATATGTTTTAAAATCAACATGAAATGCTAATACTGTGACCTAGTGAAATGACACACAAAAACATATTTAGATTGATGGTTAGAAAAAGATGAGATTGATTCAGTAAAAATGGTGCAAATACATTATATTAAGGAAAAGATATTATTATAGAATCTATTCGGTATGTCAACGGAGTGAGCAGAGTTTGCAAAGGACTATGGAAAACGTTTGCTATCTCGGATATATATTTGAACTTCCTGGAATATAGTGGTGTTTATGGCGTCACTTAAGTTGTTATCACCTCTCAGTAATATGGGGAGAGTAACATAACAATAAGCCGATAAAGTGTGAAAGAGGATATTTCGGATATTATTGTATTGTTGACATTCAAAGAAAAAGTGGTGATTTGTTTCTGGAAGACCGCATTGACACAGTGGTGAATTTGTTATATTTTTTCTGAATAAGTGATAGTTGAGAGGACTACACTCAGTTCGTAGGCGTGCATGGTATATTTGCCATTTTCTGATACCTGTATAAAAATATTTTGGACATTTAGATAGGTCACTATTCAGAAGACTCTTAAAGGATGATAGTGAAGGTGCATTTTGTAATTCAGCAGAGAGGTCGTTCCAGTCTCTTAGAGCAGAAGGAAGAAAAGCATTATAATACAGAGAAGTTCTTGTTCGTATACCGTTAAAATCGTTTGAGTTGCGAAGATTGTATCTTGATGTCTCACCTACTGAAGGGGGAACAAGAGATGAAAGGTAGTTTGGGGAGAGTCCATTTTTCATTTTGTAAAGAAGTATGAGTTTGTGTTTCCTTCGTATAGACTCTAAAGATTCCCAAGGAACTTCTCGTTTGAGCTCATGCAAAGAAACAAGTTTACTGGCACCAGAGACAATTCGAGAAGCTTCGTATTGGATTTTATCAAGTTCATTTTTTTCATATTGAGTACAATTTATAAAGACAGTATCGGCGTATTCTAAAATAGGTCTGATGTATGACAGATAGAGAATTTCTAAAGATCTACGATCAAGTTGAAATTTAAGTCTACGCATAATATGTAAACGTTTCCAAGCTCTTTCCTTAATGTAGTTAATATGAGTATGCCAAGAACCATTATCAGAAAAATGTAAACCAAGGTGTTTATGAGAAGTAACTGCAGATATTATTTCGTTTTGCATAGAAAGATGTGGATGAAAAGGTTTAGATGTTTTACGTGTGAAATATTATTTCGTCCAAATCATAATTTTCTTTCAAAATAAACATTTCTTTTTAAAAAAATTAGTAAATAAATTATATTTTGAAGTTTATAGTTAATTCTTAAACGAGTATACAATTGATTTGAATGAAAATAAAAAGAAACCAACAAAGAGACAAAAAAACACACAAAAAAACAACAACACAAAAACGATGGATAAAGCAATATGAACTGCGTCGCATACACAAAACTCCATAAAATTCTGGCCCGCTTCAAGTTGCGAATTCGCTGTAACTTTTGTTTGCAATCAAAATGTACCGAACGAAGCGGAAAATAGTTGAGCGTGTTAATAGATATATCTGGTTTTCAGTCATTTCCAACATAAAGAGTAATAAATAAAATCATACCCATTTCGTTACAAAATGGTGGCGTTTGTTAACATTTTGTAGGATACGACGCATTTTAGATTCCTAGCCCTGTTGTAGACGTTAAAATTATCATTCTTAACGTTTTTTTATAATTCTTTTTTACAGCATACAGTGTTTACATATCAAGTTATACTGAAGGTGTATATTCGGTAGAAGTAGAATGTAAGTTAGTTTCTCTCTATTTCGGTTATTCCCTCTGTATGTACAATTGATTTGCTCAGTCATTAATAGGCCAATTGCTTTACAAGATGGTAAAAAACATTTGAAGGATATCTCCATCTTTCTTTGAGATAAAACCATTCATTATTTTAAGGTCAATTCCATTGTACTATGTAAAATTTATGTAAAATATATTACAAATGAATTGTTTGAATTAACTATCAAATTGCATGTACTTTCTACAAAAACAATACTTGAAATTTGACGTCATTAGTATACCATCGTGGTTTTGGAAATGCCCTCGAACCTTAGAAAAACAACAACAACAACAACATCAACAACAACAACAACAACAACAACAGACAAACACCCCTTCCTCACAAAAAGATAAATAAATTAATGAATACAAACGAAACAATATTACGGACACCTGTGTGTTTTTTCTTGAACCTCCAATTCAAGAAATCTTAGATAATGATCTTAATGGTAACACACAGTTTACACGTTGTATTGAACTACCAACCAATCTACATTTCAGTAACATTTCAAAAATTTCTTCTTTTGCGCGATTTAAATTATATGACTTGTTCGTTAATATCATTTCAGTCTTTTGGGGTTTTACCATAAACAAGTCATATTTTTGGAAAGTTGTTGATCTTGGGAAGACGGTCATTGTTTCTGCAGTGGATATTACAAGCCCTAAAGGTCTGTAGGAAAAATCTTAAATAATATGAATAGCTTTACTAAGGTTGACAATGGTTACAAAAATACTTCCTATTCGAAAAGAAGTGGTTTTATTCATAAAGGGTGTTTTTAAAGTGCCCGTGGGAAAAAATAAGATCCGAAAAATTCCAAATAGAACCGGCTAGATGTGCTAGAAAATAACAAAACGTTTGTGACCGTATTATATATAAAAAGTATCGGTTAACTATGAAGAAAAAAGAATTTCCATAAATATAGGGAATATATAATTGTAAAAAAGTTGGTTTCTTTTGAGTTAAGTTTTTTCTGGTATTTATTCCACCGAACTGGCAGTCAATTGCCGTTCTGATAGGCAATCGACACGCAAAATATCGAATTTGCATGGGGGTATTGTAGATTAAAGTTGATAAGAGGTCTGATTTTAACACCATTGAAAACGTTAATATTTTCTCTTCCATGTCCATACTTAAATGAAAGTGTACAATAACCATTACCTACTCCGATATTCAACGAATTATGCCTAGTTGGAAATCTTGCTGAGTATATATTTGTAACATGACAAAGTCTTTACGATACAAACGGTTTTACTTTTCTTGATCATTACAAACCCAGCATGAATGAGATCATTGGCATTACTTTAATTATGTGGCGGCGAATTCTTAAAATCAAACAATGAAAGGTAGCACTGTCCCGATTTGATTTGTTTAGATAGTGACAAAATCCCAAAAGCATAAATAGCAATTACGACATTAATTTGTTTATGTAGTGACTTAATCTTAAAAAATATTTAAAACATCTTAAAAAGCAAACGATTTACTTTATTGATATTTATGGTTTATAGTTTCATGGTCCATAGAGTTGTATGAATGCTCTTATTAAAAAGGCATAATTTGTAAATGATTCAGACGTATGAACAATCATCTCATTATGTAGGAGATCCTGATGTTTGCGGCAAGATAATAGAGGCATGTTTCATCAGCAGAGAGAAAATGGACTTTCTATATACTGATGCTTTTGTCTGCAAATACATTAAGGTTTGTCGTTTAGCGACAGTCTCACTGAGTCTGCTTTTAACAAGGTATATCGTTTATTTCTTGACATAATGTTTTAATTAATGAGGGACTAAAACGTTGTTTTATGAAAAGACCCCTCGCCCCTTTAAAGAAAAAAACAAGAGGGAAATGTCACACGCACACGCACGCACGCACGCACACACACACACACACACACACAGAGCCACCTCGCACGAACACACACTCGCAAACACGTAAGAAATAAACATTTTGCATAACAATTGTCCCCTTAGGAAAAACAAGCTTTAAGATTGAATATTTTAGCATGATTTACAAAAAAACAGTTCATAATTCGCTTTGTGATTAGCAAATAATTAGATTTATGATGAGTGTTAAAGTTGTAGATATGTCGCATATATAATGTAATATACATAACATTTATTCATTAACTTACTGTCAAGGCCTATGGAAGGGCGTTTTATTGCTGTTTCTTGGAACAAAGAAATACCTGGACAGATAGTCAACGTGTTTACAGAACGTGTTATTAATGGTGAGTGTTCTGGATATTTATCGTTGCAAAATCTCGTAAACTTATTTTAAGTTGACGATAACTCATTTTTCCATTTTTCAAGATTAAAAAATTATACCAAACAAAATAATAAACGTGACTGGTGACGACAGTTACGCCACCGGCAAGTATGCTACCTTAATGACACAAACCAAACGACCATGGTCCTTCATAAAATGAATGCAAGATGAATTTGAACATGGTTCATATAATAAATTATAAATTTACTAGACCATGGATTAGATACTAAAATAAATATCGATTCGATTGAGGTCTGTCAACTACATTTTAAAACATGGTCAATATCATACATAAAACATCAATTAAATAAATACTATAACTAAATGGATTAATCTATTTCTTTGTTCTAGCACAGTGACTTATTTCTTGGTTTGAATTGGTTTTAGATAATGATGGCTGCAGTTTTTTTTCAATTTTGTCAATCTTAACATTGATAAAACAAATGTTCGTTTGATGTAACACAACATGTTTTATTCAACTCAGATGAAGCAATGACTTGTAATAGCGAACTTGGAATGGGTGACAATGGTATAACGGATGATCAAATTTCAGCATCTTCTGCTCTTATTGCATACACCCCCGACAAAGCAAGGCCATATGGCCATGGCTGGTGCTCAGATTTTCAGGATGAACAACCATATATCGAGGTAAAGTATCAACAACAAATGCAGATATTTTAATTGGTTTTTTTTTTTCTTTTATTAAAGTGAATGAAATTTTTTAACTTTTGGGTTTTTTGTTTGAAAAAACAAAAAATAGCGTCAAAATAAAAATTACTCGCAATGAAACCCTTACCATGCTTTAATATTTAAATTGACGTGTTTTTAATTTTTTCAGGTTGCGTTTAAAGAAGAAATGGGATTTGAAGGTATTACGTATACAATGCCCGGGAAACAGAACTCTCTCGCCTCGAATTTTTGAAAAACATTTCCTTTAGTCGAAAAACTTAAAATTTCCGCGAAAAAAAAATGAGGGTAAAACTTTAACAAAGGTTTTAAAAAAAATTTTTTTTTTTGGGTTTTTATATCACTGCATTGTTCCGCTTCCTTTTCAGATTAGCATTAAAAATTTTTTTATATTTTAAAATATTTGAACATTATATGTTTTTGATTTAATCTTTTGTTAATTATAAGATGGTTTTGTTCATTTTCATTTTTTTTGTGATTGTACTTTAAGCATTGAAGAATAACGTCTGTTAGATATTGACAAAAAACACACTTTCAAAATTTTACCCATAGGATACGTATTAACAAGTCCACGGTTAAATATTTCTACCGCAATCAGCTTCAACTAAAAATATATCATCGAAGTCAATGAATAACATTTCAAGACTGCAAAATTGTCTGGTAAAAAAAATTTTTTGCTCTTTTTACTTCAATTTTTTTTAGCCCGAATATTTTTTATTTTCTTTTTTATCTCATTAATTTTGCTTTTAAAATCGACCGTCGAGACTGATCTTCCCCCGATTTTGGTTTAAAAAAAGTTTCAGCCCAAAATTTTACATCATTATAAGAAAACATCGTGTCGGGAAATGTTTGGGTTTTAATTCTGGGTTAAACCATCGGGGGGTAAGATTTAAATTTTCCCCAATCCCATGATTTTTTTTTGTAGCACAAAGAAAAAAGTTAAAAAAAGCAGTTTCGGTTAAGAATTCATTTTTTAAAACCTTTATCACATTTTATCGTTTTCTCAAAAATTTTGATTCGGGGTAATTAAATTTTTTAAGTATATCTATGTTTTCATTAAAAAAAAAAGCTGTGTTTGGATGTTGTAAAATGTAGTATTTTTTGTCCTTTTCATTTTTCTGCAGAGTTTAATTTGTGAATACAACTCTTGAAAATAAATTATTATTTCATTATTTTATTTTTGTTATTATTTTTCAGCAATTTTTCATCCTTATAGAAGCCCTGGATATGTTGTAAACAAAGAAGTGGCCTTTGTAAGCGAGATTCACGACGATAGGACAATACTTTCGAATATTGGTTTCCCAAATCATTACCAAACAAATCAGGCTTATAAATGGATTATCACATATCCCGAAAATTACTACATAAAACTAGTATTTACACATATTGAATTGAACATTCCGCAGGTAAGTGTAATGAAAATTTTGAAGATGTAAACATTTAAATCAAGTGTAAAATGTTATTGTTTTTTTTAAAGATAAATTATATCGGCTGTTTAATGTAAAAATACACCATGATGTACATTGTTGAGCAGGTAATGCGCATATCAATTGTAACAGCAGTCCTCCAATCACTAGCGAAGTTCAAATATTTAAACCCATATTAAAGGGACTCCACTGAGCTTAAATATTCTAATATCATATAAATTCAATTGAAATTCTTTTATAAAGAAGTACAAATGTTGCTGTTATGCAGCAATAAGAAACTCCGCGCAAAAATGCGCTCATTACAGAAACCTTACCAGATCATTTCTGCGCACAAGTCATTTTCTATTTAGATTAAGGACTAGTCATTATTCCGAATGCTTTGTAAATCATTTAAATTTGCATTATTATACTTATCGTATGCACTGTCCATGACAGAGGGGCCAGATATTAAATTTAAAAAAATGCTTTCACTGATGCCTACCTGGTAAGGAAAGTAATTTCAATACAAACAAGACTTACAAGACTTGTAAATGTAATGTGACATGACAGTAGTGCAACATTGTTCTGTTTGTGTCACTACTATAGTCAGTTATATTGGATAAAAAATATCAAAACATGTACATTTTCTTTTTCACCTAATATATACTAATCACTTTCTACAAATATCAACAAGTAATCATTGTAGGAAATATTAAATCCACATATAAATAAGCAAAATCGACTTTATTTTCAAAATGTCCGTTACATGTTTCGCACCAAATGGTATATCATGTTAAACAAGAAAGGCATTAATGCAAAGCATCATATGGCGTCCAAGCAAGAAATGCAGCAAGTGACGATGAACTTGTAGACATCTGATGACCAGATATTCTTTTAAACTTTTCAATGGTTAATTATATTTTACCAGAATTGTACATGTATAACATGTATAACAAAGATGAATGGGCGGACGAAAGATATTGTTCATCATGAACTTTGGTCGGCTTGCTAAAAATAAAAATATTAAATGTATTTTCTTTGGAACATACAAAACAGTAGTCAAATTGAACAAATATACAAACAGCATATACAAATAAAAACAAAAGAGACTAATATTGTCATATAACAGGCATTTTTATATCAAATTTAGAAAAATGGTTTCTTTCGATGCCTTAGAAATAAGATACAGTAGCTATATTTTAAGTCTCAGATAAATACTGAAAGAAGAACACACACTGGAATGAAACATTTGTGATGAATTTCTAAAAGACCAAATTCAGATATGTTTATCGTTAACAAAAAATGGTACTAATCATGAATAAGGTTCATGGCATGTTGTATATGAAAATTATTTATCAATGAGACTGTTACTGTATTTAGACAGTATCATAGGAATGAGATTCACAAATCATGTTATGCGAGTCAAAGATATAAAAGATACTTGATATTGGTTATAAATAAAGAGCTGTTGTTATATAATTGATTTATTGGGAGATGAATCTACTATTTTGTTGAATTGCTTCAAACTCCTCGTCTGACCCACCAGTGTGTTTACATTCCTATCAATAAATCCATAACACCTCGACGAAAGTTTCTGTTGTTTTAATACATGTCGCAGTATTCGGCAAATCAAAATTCAACTCAGACCACCATAAAACCGATTGCCTTCAAAACAGAATTGAGTCAATTTCTAATTACAAAAACTCGGGACACCAGGGTCGATTTAAATAATCAGGGGAGCTATTAATTTACTTTAATTTTTTCGATAAGTTATAAAGGGTGCACTTTATGGTTGAATATGTTTGCATTTCATTCTGCATAAAAACTCCAGTTCGTTCAACTACTTCTATGATTAGATTTTTGGACTTTCTTAATGTTTAGGTCATTTCTATTTATAGCTTTGTTGCCGTTCGCATTCATTAATATGACATGCTGCGAATCACCAAAGGGGAGACCAATATATGACTTTACATAATAGAAATCGAAAGGATATCTTGCTTCCGAATTTATTTTTAGCTGAAAATCGAAGGGATAAATTGATAAAAGTCGGGGCCATTGACAAACAAAATACTTAACACAAATAACTGCTTTACATAAAATGAAAAACTACGCAATAGAAAGTAAACGTTGCAACGCTTTTCAATTTGGGGTCAATTTGCACAATGAAATTGGTAATCCCTGGGTAGCGGGGCAAGCATATGATCTGAAAGTTTGGATTAGTTATTGGTCGAAAATTTTGGAAAAGTATTTTCGGTTTCTTCATGTCAAAAAAACTCAGTGGAGTCCCTTTAAAGGCTCAAAAACGATGATGATAAGCTGAAAAAATGAACCCACGATGATGTTTTTACCATCGCACTTTCAACCTTTCACCTTTGTTGTTTCGTAATTTCGACTTAACATCATCGTACTATCGACCCTCATCATCGTACCTTCGACTTTTCAACATCATGGTTTCGTTGTTCTCCTTTTCACCATCGCTCTCTTGACTTTTCATAATCTTGGTTTCAACCTGTCATCATCGAAAACACGAAATTACGATTCAGAAATGTCGAAAAAGGGAAAATAAAAGGTACGCTAACGAAAAGTCGAAAATTCGATCATGGTATAAAGTCAAAATAACGGAACACGAAACACCGATGGTGAAAAGACGAAAGTACGATGGTGAAAACACAAATTTATTTCGAGTTTTCACCATTATGGTTTCGTTATTTTGACTTTTTACCACCGTACGTTCGTATTTTCGTTGTTCCGAGTTATGTGTGTGTGTATCGCGATCGCCCTAACGGAACATCGTAATTATCTACCTTTATAGAAAGATGCTAGATCATCATTCTTTTGTAGTTGATATAAAATCAATTTGATGGTTGGCAGCAAATTTAATAGGACACTAATATTCAATTCTTAGAATCAAACGCAGACCTATATTATGAATAAATTTAAGACATGAATAAATACATGTATAGCTTAATCAAAATTTGATATTGTTACAATATTGAATACTATTAACAAAGTAAACCTTAATGCATCGGAAATTACATGGTAGTGTTTTACATTAGTATCAACCCCTTATGTCTGTAGATATGTTTGCTAATCACTTTTAAGTCAAACCATCTGACTGCTTCCTAGGTGCCTTTATCTTTGCCTCTATCAGAATTTTGGCAGTATCCCCAATCGTGAGACCGATCATCTTCCGCTTAACCACTCTTCCTATATGTATTTACCTTTCAACACGGAATACTGCACTACCTCAGTCTGACTTAAGTTCAGATCTACTTATTTCTTCCATTTAGATCTGATGACTACTATATATATGTTTCGCTTCTTTATAATTCGGATTTCCCGAGAAAGCTATTTTAGCCATGCAATCAAACTGGTTTTTTCAGATAGGCATTAGAAGAAGTATGAAAATGAAGCAATTTTTAACACACTAACTTCAAATAATACAGTCAATTTTTCATGGGCAAGATTGTTTTGCCAGTTTACCTGTCGCTATATAGACAACGCCATATTTGTTCCAAAAATCCTGAACATTACATACTAAGCATTTGTTTTCGAAGGGTTAAAATTAGAAACTGCATCGCTTTCAAGATAATGAAAGCTTGCTAATGATTGGTTGTTTGAAAGTCCACGAGGTGACTACGTATGGGTGGATGTCAGATCCTAATGCGTAGCGTTATTAATCAGCTGATTTTAAACAGATTGGCACGAACTCTTATTCAAACTGAGAAAACATGATGCTTCCTACCTTGCCATTGTTTTCACATTTTCATCTGAATACGATAGCTTTGTTTTCATGTCAAACAATGCAGAAATATAGCCTTAGTCCTAGTATAGGTCAGATGTAAAGTGAAATTTAAATAAACAATCCACAAATAAACATTATTCTTTATCAAAACTCTGGCTAATATATGTACACCTAACAACAATTTGCCCCATTTTTTATTTCTAATTATTGACTCTCCTGCTTAAATTCCAACAATTACTAAATAGCCATTTCCCTAAACCATTTCTTGATTCTGTTGCTTTATGGAAATTAGTACCTATATGATATATAGTGATTTATCATTTTGTATAGAAGTCAAAATATTCCTTTGTTACATTTTGCTACTTCCATGATATGTTACATTGAGAAGTGCTTTCTTTTTACAACAAGCATCTTTAATGCTTTAAAACGATCATTTAAAACTCATTATTCATTCATCATTTTGAGACATAATTTGGAATGTATTCGTATATATTTCAGGACCCTTCAATTTGTAATGATACCTTGAAGATATTCAACCATCTGTTTGATACAGATTTGGCCAGAGTTATTGACCATACTTTAAATGGTGTAAACGACTCATTGGTACTTGAAACAGATGTAACACAGCTAATTCTGTCATTTGAAACGTGCATCAATATGAATGTAGTGAGTTTTGGAAGTGGATTCAAAGCGTTTGTGTCTTATGAAAGTAAGAATTTGTCCAAACATTTAAATGTTGTTGAAGTTTTAAATGAATATAGTCTAGAATTGGAATAAGAATAAAAAATAAGGAAAATATGTAAAAGTATCTGACCATACAGCTGCTTCAAGAGTTAGATTTCATACCAGATTCGATTATATGATTTTTAATTTAAGAAATAACTTTGTTTCTCCAGATATTCCTACTTGCTTATCTCTTCGCACGCGCATGACTTGGCATGAAGGGTTAATGGAAACATGCCGCCTGCCTTTGATGATGATAACTTCCATGGCTTATCTCGGCTTTCCATTTGTGCACACCACTGAACAATGGACGATACACGCTCCATTAAAAAGAATAAATCTGCAAATAATTTCATTTTATGTCCCGTGTAAAACAAGTAAGTTTGCTGGTAAACCATGTGCCACCAAATTGGTGCTTAATTAATCATAGAAAAAATGATGCATCTCTCTCATTGACGTCTCATTAAGTCGTACTAAATAAAAAGATAAGGGTTGATGCCCTTTGAAGCTTAAATTCTGGAGTTGAAAGATAATAATGAATACAGTTTTGATTATTATATCAATGCTCTTATTTGTTAAAATGATTTTCCTGTTTAACGCATTTCGTACATGTAATCAATTTATTTATATTTTCGAGCTTAAAACTCATTTTTATTTTAATTTCCGTCCATCTTAAATCAAGGTATCAAAAATGTTTTTGAAATAAAGAAAATCAGTATCGAATTCTTTCGTATCGAATGTGTCTATATTAATATGCCTCACATCTAAAAACTAAATAAAAATGAAAGATAAAAACCAGATAAAAATGAAAAAAGTAAATCAGCCGTGTATATGCAATGTTTCAGCGATTATTGCATTCCATGAATTATTAATAAGTAGGAGCACAATATAAAATATATTGTCCCATTAAAACAAGAATAATGCATGGCTTAAATTAGCATACATTGTACACGACAACAACCTCTATTTACCGCACTTAAGTTCCTGACCCTTTCAAATATTCCTTCAAGAATTTAGGATTTCCTTGTTTGCTGTTATGACTTAAAAGCAGTAATTTGATCTCTTTCCGCCTTCGGTACACTTTTCCATTTTGGGGGCATTGTTTCAGCTAGTTCAATGTCAAGTAGTTCTGTACTGCTGGACCGAGAACTGCGAAGATCATCCTTTGCTGTTTTTCCTGGCCTCTCTTTATCCGAATGAAGGACAAGACAATTCCAATGAACTCTTACACTGTTTTCGACAAACCCAACATTTATAATACAATTGACATTATATACACAGTAATTGTGGTAATTTAAAAGTCTTTAAGATCTAAGTGACAGTGTTAAATAAAATTATTTATCTTAGTCATATTCAACGAAATCCACAAATATTATTTGAATATTCCTTTGGTCTCCGCAAGAATGTAGGTCATTGTCGGTTTCTTTTAATATTCTTCCTAACAATTTTTATTGAGACTTTATTTTCAGTTATTTTAAAAATGATTAAAAGATTAGATAACTTGATCGACATTGACCTTGTTCCGAAGTCGCATTAAAGTAATATATTGTTTTATTAACTCTTGAAAAGCAGCCCTGAATCTTCAATCGTGACATGTGTAGATGCTCTGTTTCAGGAAGCTACAAATCAGAATTCAAAATCGGCGATATGGGACTAGAGAAATTTTACTGCAACATAAACAAGCCACCTAACAGTATCAAATCATCATTTGACATTATAACTGTACATTTCTATAAGGGAGAAGATCCCTGGCCGAGAAATCGAAATGTCGAAGGATTCAGGATTGTCTATAGTGTTTTATATGAAGAAGAGGAATTGGAAATGATTGACTATAAGGATTCGATGTCTGAAGGTACGTCGTTTTTTATATCTATCTTTCTATTTTGAAGTTGAGTCATTAAGAACAGTTCCCTTTGAGTTGCATATTAATCTAAAATGTGTTTCAGTGGCACATTAAGTAGGGTGCTTTTATTGAAGACTAGTTCGTTTTTATCAAAGTCTAACTACGTTTAAGTTTACTTTTATCGATGTTAATTTTTCTTTTATAAAGACTTTATATTGATGTAAAATTAGCTTTGTGTGAATTTCATGCACTTTGATTGATAAGTCCATTTGTCTGAATGAAATAAAGGGACTCCACTGAGGTTTTTGGACATGACGGGACTGGAAGTATTTATTTTGAGATTATTGCTCCATTTGGTGAAGATCTATACTAATGACTTATGTGCAAAATTTCAAATCATTAGCTCGCTCCGTTTTTCCAGAATAATAATTATAATAGTGAAAAATGACCCAAAATTGAAAAGCGTTTAAACGCTTTTCAATCAAATCGGACAGAGAATAGCACAAACATACGATTTCTTATGTGTTTCTTGTATATTTCTTAGTTATATTTAATTTGTATTTCTGTTAAAAGTGCTCATGTTTATCTATGTGAAAAATTAAAATGTTATGTTTTCAGGCTTATAAACCTCAGTGGAGTTCCTTTAATCTTAACCAAACGGAAAGTATAAAATTCAAAGTATTGTGTATATAGTTAATTTAGCTCCTATTTGATTAAACAGATAAACAAAACTGTCATAAGCTCATATTAGCCGAGCGATTAGGCGCATTTTCTTTCTTTGGCAAGAATTTGAATTAATTCAAAAAGTGCAGTTCCCTATTGTCAAGGTATATTTAACGTCATGATTGCCCAATCAAAAATGGACGTTACAAACATACAGTATTGTAGTAATTTATAGAAATAGAATGAATAGCAACTATAGCGACTAAATGAGAATTATATGTCCAAAATGCTTTGGATGACATATTGTATTTGCATTCGCCGTCTTTCTGCCTTTCCGTCTGTCCGTCCGTCCGCATTAAGGTTGTCCGGCTTTCACAGGTCAAACTCCTTACGGGATTACAACCAAACTTGACAAGATCGATCAAAACAAACCCTAGTTGTGCACATCTCCGCCATGTACCGCTCTTCCATCCTTTTTTATTGAAAAATTTGACTGAGACTTTATAGAAAAAATTGTTCTAATTACCTCCCTATATTAACATGAAATGTTAATTCGCTTATATCTTTACAAACAATGCTTTTTATATGCCCGAAAGAATTTCAGCATATTATGTTATACCCCTGGCGTCCGTCCGTTTGTCTGTCCGTACAAACCAGAGCTACATTATGGGGTTTGGTCTATTGTTCTCATAACAATAGATGTCTTTGATGTTAATTTTACAATAACCTTAACACTGAAAACAGTTACTGGAGCATAACTTAAGTTCCATTTGACCTACAGTGTTCAAACTTCAAAGTGTAATTTTCCATATTGAGAAGAAGACTCCTATTGATTTTGGGGTCACAAAGTCAAAGGTCAAGGTCACTAAAATCTTAAAACTGAAAACAGTTTCCGGAGCATAACTTAATTTCCATGTTGCCCACAGTGTTCAAACTTCATAGAATGATTGTCCATATCGGGTAAAAGACCCCTATTGATTTTGGGATCACAAGGTCAAGGTCACTATTTCTTTAAAACTGAAAACAGTTTCTGGAACATAACTTGGGTTCCATTTGGTCCACAGTGTTCAAACTTCATAGGATGATTGTCCATATTTAGAAAAACACCCCTATTGATTTCAGGGTCACAAGGTCAAAGGTCAAGGTCAGTATTATCTTAAAACTGAAAACAGTTTCCGGAGCATAACTTAATTTCCATTTTGCCCACAGTGTTCAAACTTCATAAGATGATTGTCCATATTATGTAAAAGACCCATATTGATTTTAGGGTCACAAGGTCAAAGGTCAAGGTCACTATAACTTTAAACCTGAAAATAGTTTCCGGAACATAATTTATATTCCTTTCGATCCACGGTGTTTAAACTTCATAGGATGAGTGTCCATATTGGGAAAAATCCCACCATTCATTGATTTTTGGGTCACAAGGTCAAAAGTCAAAGTCAATATTACTCTAAAACTGAAAACAGTTCCCCGAGCAACTTAAGTTCCATTTGGTCCACAATATTTAAACTTCATCGGATGATTGCTATTTGAAGGAGGTAATACTTTGTTTAATTCCTATGTCTTGCAAATGCTTCATCCTTACTAAAAAAAACACTTTCGGGCACATAATGCTCAGTCTAGCGGTGCTCTTGTATGAACTTACAATATTAATAAATCTTCATTTGAACGTTATATTTATGATATTAAACCATTAAAATGAGTTAAAGGATCTTTTACATTAAAAAGTATTTTTCAAAATCAAATAAAAATAGAAATGTTTAAAGTTCTGTAATTCAGAAAATAAACTGATCTTTCATTCTAACAGAAATGATGACACACAATGAGGTAGTGAATCGATTGTTTGAAAAACTTACTTTACTTACCTAGTAGATAGTTATTTTAACCAAGGTAAACGCCAATGCCAAAGTGTAACTTCTTTGTCGTAAAATAAAACGTACCAAATGTTATCATTTTCGTCATTATCAATTCTTAATTTGTTTCACTTTATAAGAATAATGAATAGCAACAGTGTATGCTAGCACTTTTGTTGTTCAGTGACTGTTGACTGATGTTGATAGCACCAAAACGCTTGTATCTTACAGTGATCAAATCATTTGTGACAAGGATCCCTTTGTAAACTTCGGAAATTTTAATCAAACCAACTTAGCCCGTGACACAACACGGAATATCACTTGCTGCTTGTGAACGCTAGACGTTGTCAACAGAAGAAACGCCTTTATGTATTTCATGCCAAATAGACATACTGAGTTAGATTATATTCTCCATAACGTTGCTCTGCATGGTCCCGAGTCAGCCGGCCAAAGGTGTTGTAACGTATAGATCAACAACCTGCCCTAAAGTATCAAAATCCTACTTGAATTTTCTATCCTTAGAAATGCTAATAGCAAGATGGATGTACTGATCAATTATGCTTATTTCATTGTTTGGATTGTGCAAAATGGAAAACATACTTCACCAAACTCGACCAAAGTAAATAATTTAAATAATATTAATAGTATACAGTAATATACCAGTCTTTAAAAGAAATAGCTTTGTTGTCTAAGTGTTTCTTTTGCTTGTTACCTATGCGCAAATACGATCGAAATAGTAAGCAACATAAGAAAATCAATTATTAAATGCAATAATCTTGAAAACCATTGACAATTTCTTTATTTTTTTTTGAGGTCATACACGAATTCAAACAATGTCAATATGAGCGTTGATAGCCAATTCCTAGGCTAAAAACTCAAAATCTGTTTTAAAAAGCCGCTAAAGACCACCGTTACGAATACTTTTTCTGAATTTTGACTATGATACTGCAGGCTTGTATAGAATATATTGTGATTTTTATATTATCTATAAACATGGCTGCAGCAAAGAATCTTCTATTTTAATTAAAGAGCAGGTAAATTTGTTATACAGACTATATACTATAGGTTTAATGAAATGTTTGTCTTGCTATATAATCATTGTTCAGCTGACAGATGAATGTAATTTTATAAACATTTTTAGGCTATTTTGGCTATCAGAAGTATTAACTTGAAAGTTAAAGCCATACATATGTTTACACTTGTTAGCAAACTAAAAACATGGCATGATTCATTTTGAAACATTCTTCAAAATTTCTCTAGATTAGCTCAACGACAGTGTGCCAATTAGCAATACTACAAAGGTGCACGGAAAATACCGGAAAAACGAAACATGATGGATAAAAAAAGATCTTTTTGAAAATCGTTAGAAAGGAAGATATTATACAATTAATGTTAATTTATAGCACAATTTTACAATTAAGTAGGTTTTGTCACTTAAATTTTTCGACAATGACCAATATTCGTGATACACTTTTTCGATAAATCATACATATAAAAACACATAAACTGTTGATTAATAAAGGCTATATAAAAGGTAAAATAAGTTATGATTTAATTATTGAACTATATTTATACATAATTACATTAATTCATACGGAGAGATACTATTTTCGGTAAATCTGTAGAAAAGTCGTATTGAGTGTCGAAAGAGCGTATCGGAAAATATCGCTTATAGTCCTAATACGAATGGCAAAATGCACCGATATGCTATTTATCACCTTAAACGAAAAAAACCTCCCTTTTACTTTTTTAATAGAATTCGTTAAGCATGCGGTATCTTCAGGTATTTTCCGGTAAGCTTCGGTTATTCCATGCATCCCTACTAGGGCTATTTGGTAGATCCATATTAAAAATGAAATTCATTAAAAAATGGGCAAATCGATTTCATCAGGTTAAATTTCAAAAAGCACAAGCTTACAATTACACAAAATAGATTACATCTTGTCCCTTTCCTTTTCTATTTTCAGTAAGAAATGTTGCAATAAACAAGAGAATAATTTACCAGGATCTTTTTGGCAAAGGAACGTCTGCGTTGGCCACCGATGGCTTAACATTTCCAGAACATGATGCATGCGTAAAAACGTTTATAATGTCAAAACCTTGGATTTTATTGGACCTTTATTCCGTCTACAATGTGAGCTATATAGTGCTATATTATAGCGTAGGGTAAGACATCACTGCTTTATTAACTGTGAATGATACTATATACCTGTAATTAGGCTTATTGTCTTAAAGGAAAGGTAGACAATTAATTGAACATTTATTAGAATTCATAAAGTGGAAATTAGTAAACCTGATGTTGACATTAACAGGGCAATTTTGGGTTGGTAGATTTTATAGCAGAAGAGATAAGTCTTTTGTTAATAAGATACAGAAACGTCCAACAGATACAGACATCAAATGATACTAATACGGAGTCATGAAAGTATTATACTTTGTGCGTATTATTTTTCTATTCCTTTCAATTGATAGATGGGGTTTTCAGTCAGTTTCAAAACAATTTGACATGACTTATATTTCACTGAAGCATTTAGTATCTCAAGGGAGAGAAATAATCTAGAAAATTATTCTTAGCGCGATATACATAGTCAGTACGAAAGAAAACCCCTGAAGATAAATGCATTGTGACGGTATGAACTCGACTGGACAAAGGGTGTTTCATAAAATATAGGAAATGATGTTGAACAACCTTTTCCTTCAAGTCAAAGCAATATGCTGAAGTCAATTAATTGTTAGTAACACAATTTTCTTAGACTTTGCATACATACAGGATTTGTTATATATTATTCAATAGTCAATTATTACCAACTATAATTGATAAAGTTATTTCATTTACAGTTTTCTAGTTACTTTCAAGATTTATATATTATATAGTTTTTAGTAAAATGTGTATTCTCCGAAATTACTCTTGCACATTGCAGTACCAAATAAATTTAACATGCACTTAGCTGTTGTTAATGTTACTGTTAAATGCCATAACATAACTTTCTTTCGTCTTATCAGGGACTTTCAGGGACATGACACGTATGATATTGTCATTTCCTCTGGTCTAACTGTCTGGGAAATTAATCAATTGACACGTATTTGTGGCGAGATAACGCCGAGTAGAACGGTTCAGCTGAACAGCCATGCAGCCAGATATATTCTTTTCGAACAAACGCGTGACAAGAAAGAACAATTTAGTATATGTGAAATTAAAGTATTTGCAAACGAAGGTATAATATTCAAACACAACTGTAAGCTATTCTTCTATATAGCGTTTTAAAACTGGCTTTTATTTGCCATGATAAATTCAATCTGCGGATGTTTCTAAATTCAAAATTTTACCATTACCATGATAATATGTTGAATTCTGTTTCAGCCGGTGTTAAAGAGCATGGACGGTAGTTTGTACTTAACAGTACCGTCAATGAACAAGCTCAATCAAACCGAGCCTGCAACATTTTCAATTTTGTGGTTTTGTCCGTTATTTCGGGATTCTTTATTTCTTTCTATTTTTGATATGAAGTCAAACAGATATTATGAATATTTCCGAGCTTTATTTGTAAAAAGTGTTCCCAACCGTGCACTATTTCATGCACAAACATTCCAAGCTGAGAAGAAAGATTGAAAAGGATGCACAATTGAAATATTCAAACAAAACAATGAAGTGACTAACTGACTAAATAAATGAAAAAAATAATCTGTTTATTTCTGATTTTTATTAACACTGGACAGGGCGTATTTCACAACATTTTTCAGTCAAATCGGTCTAAGAATCGCACAAACATCAATATATAATCTAATCGTATTTTTATCATCTTTCATTGTTTTTTATATCATTATTATCCTTTGCAGATTTTTCAGTTTTACTTTATCAATGTTAGGAATTTCATGGTTTTAGTCATTTTGACTTCCTATTATGAAATTGTTATGATAATGTTTATGTTCAGTTTTTAACATTGTATTATATTTATATGATAAATTGAGTTATTTTATTGAAGTGCAAGGAATCGAATGGTTTGAGTTTGTAATTAAGGATAAACTGTTAATATATTATATATTTCTTAAGAGTGTCATAATTTTTCTAATAATTTCTTTCAAAAGATTAATTCACAAGACTTTATCACAGTTAACAAGGATCTGTGGTTCGAGCCTTGCTATGGTAACAATCATATTTCCTCATCTGATACCAGTACTTATACACAGAATTTAAAGACGTTGTAATAATCAACAATCGTCCTACAATATTTAAGCATACTTATAACATAATAAGTTGAAAACAATTTACAATAAGAAACAAAAAAAAACAACAAAAAAAAACAACAAACAAACAAACAAAAAAAACCCCAGAAAATAACCCTTGTAATGGAAACAAAAGATTTAGGAAGCCAACTCTTCTTTTCAGGGCAACAATATGATACTATGAAAGATGTGTTTTCTCCTGAATCAGGTAAGACATATTTTTTAAGTCATTTATGTGGTATTAAATAATGTTTTTGATATACTGTTATTACGTTGTTAACGCGGGATATGTTGCCATCCGTTATTCATTGGGAGCTTCTCTGAAAGTCATGTTCATATATATACAGGGGTATTTCTACTTTTTCTTAGTTTCATAGTTCAATAATTATTCATCTTTATCTGATCATGTCATATAAAATAAAGTATACCGTAGCTAATGAAATACATTAATTATCGTAAAGAATTGATCATTGATCACTTAATACAGTGATAGAAGAAAATGTCTGTAAAATGCTTTAATAAGTAGATAACAATATTTTGCTGGTATCATCTCAATATTGTTCGATATCGAGCTTATACATGTTTTTGATTTCCACTTCTACGGGAAGCATTAAAAGCTAAGAATAGTTAATGGTTTTAAACGGCATCTCATTTATCAATTATTTGCTCTTCACCATGTTTTTGTGCGCCTATTTTAGACGGTCATCAGGCTCATTGAAGAATGAACGTCATTGCTTCTATTGATATCCTTTTACAACATATGTGTAAATAGATTTAGATAGCGCTTTCTTAGAGGACTACTTTTTTGGATATGATATATCACACGTTCGTATTTTTTTTCTGGGCATTAATTGACGGAATTGAAGGAATGAAAGGTTATGCGATTAAGGAAAAATATTTGAGGTAAAATCTTTAAAGTTAAATGCTACGACCTTCATCGGTTTAGCATTCTTATATTTCAAGCGTTTTTAAGTATTCATTTACAAAACATATAATTCACCACCTTTTTTACCTACTCATTGTTAAGTTCATGGTGAATGGGGTTATTGGTCATCATGGTCAAATGAATGCCACTGTGATGGATACCAGTATAGACATAGACTCTGTAATAATCCTGAGGAGAGATTTAGCGGACGAAAATGTCCAGGGGAGTCTACTTCAGGGCGACAGTGTTCACCTGTAAGCACAGCTTGTGAAGGTAACTTATTTACACAATATCAAATCCAACTTCTATATGTTACTTTTTATTATCATTTTTGATTGAACATTTGTTAGAGGATTTGATACCTTCTTTATTATTTCGGTGAAACCTCAAGAAAATTTTGAATTGATAACAGCTGTGAGACGTTTTGATTCCTTGTAAATTATTTGAAAATCCTTGACAGCTCTTGTTTGTTGCAATTTGACAACAGTTGTGATAATCGATAATTATTTAGTTCTTGTAAGTTCTTCAGAGTTTCTTATCCAACAAAGGTTTTACTTGCTTTAATATTTTTTTTATTTAGCTTTCGAGGAACCAGCCATTCTAGACGTGTGTACTAAAAACAATTCAGGTATGTTGGTGTTTTATGTTTGTTAAATGATGTGTACCCTTCGCCTGCTAGGTATGTGTTATTGGTTCCTTAACCTGCTGAGTTTGTGCTATGTTTTCTTGGAAAAGTCCATTCAAAGCTAAAGGAATTACAATTTCAAAAACGAAAAACATTTGCTGTCAGCACTCTCAATCCAGGACAGGCTGCAAGATTGTGCAAACTGTCATGGCTCTTTAATGATGCCAAAAGCTTACCACTTTCGATTCCTGCAGGTTAAGGTTAAGAGTAAATTCATTATACAAGTACAAAATATATTTGCTTAGGAAGTGACTTCAGTCGTTCGATACCTTTATGATGATAAGTTATATATTCAATTGTAAAGCATTGCAGTACATGCATAAAATTAAAGCCAAATAAAGTTTACAGCGTTGTTCTTCTTAATTTATAAGCAGAATAACATCTTTCACCCCAAAATAGTAAGACGTATCACCCAATTTTTCTTACAGTCACCAAACTCTTGTCATTAAAATTTGCGTATCAGCCCTTTTTTTCATCATTTCCCTTGTCAAATTGTTAACTGTAACAGTTATTGCAATGTCATCCATTCCTTTCACCGCTCTTGTGCACACTCCTTTTCTTGGTCAGGGCCTTCTGTACAATAAAAATATCTGTGCAGCATGTCCGTTTCTACAATTTAGTAATCGTTATTATTGTTTTGATGTTGTTTATATTAATATACAGGATAAAAGCATATTTTTTCCAGTGACAGACATTGTCGGCCTAGAAAATTGGTCCGAGTGGGGCGCTTGCTCATCTGAGTGTGGAAATGGATTGATGTCAAGAATACGAACATGCGCAACACCCGGTTCAATATATTTTGACGAAAATTGTCAGGAAGATATAGTTGAAACGCGACCATGTATCGGAAACAAGAAATGTCTTGGTAAGTTGACTGATATTTAAAAAGCAAAAAAAGGACGGGGGATAAACCTTTGTTAACAGTATAAAGCAAAGACGTGCAGTCTGTCCAGGTTAGCTCAAGTGTGGTATTCTAGTATTGAAATCATTTTAATACTTTTATGGCCTATTCTAAATTCAAAGGTTTGCTAACAGATTCAGGAGGTAAATGATTAATCTACATAAACATACATCGTTTTTGTTCCTTTGATTTTGTATATCGAAATAATTATACATTATGAACATCTAAGCCGGTGTCTTATTGCTGTCAATAGTTCTTCTCCTTTTAAAAATTCTTAAATAATAAAATTGGCAAGTGGTACAGGGTGAATGGAAGCTTTACAAATAAATGCACCTATTCTCAGTGGTGTTGTATATTTCTGATCAGGATCAGCATTGATTTGAGTAGGCTCATTTTGAAAGCTAGACAACTTTGGACCGTTAAATATCTACTTTTCCATACAAACCATTTTGTATTATTTGTCATTTGATGTTCCTGAAAGACTATTTTTCTTCTTTTTGTATACTAATTAATTTATATGTTCGTAATATATAACAGCTATGGTAAGTAATTGCGACGAGAAAATTCTTATTATACATGCATACCTCTACAAATATAGCTAGAATACATAAATTTAAATAAATGTACACTGTTTAATATATATTCCATCGCCTTGACTTTTTTCTGAAATATACTTTTTCGCCACCTTAATTTTGGATAAAACTTTTCATCATTTGCAATGAAAATATGTAGTGATTGAATAGCGAAAAGTATATCTTGCTGAGCACCTGTGGCATGGGTAGATTAAACTGCCGCAAACAGACTATATATAAGGCTGAATAATTGGCAATTCTTAAGTGCTTACTCGAAATATAAATATCATTGAAAATATACATGTCGCTTTAAGATAAAATTAAAGTGATCAACATACAAGGTATCTGATTTTTCTTTCTACGCGTTCATATTCCCATTGTAGTGTGTTCAAAGAAGTTTCAAAAGTGCTACAGTGTGATATTAAAAGCAACCAACTGGAATCAGGCACGGCTAGAGTGTTGGACAAGAAACATGTCGCTAGTCACAATGCTGTCGCTGTCAGAAATGAGATTCATTAAATACTTGTTGCGTGAACGAAGACGCGTAGACGTTCCTCCGACAAAATATTTTGATGCTGAATATTATGTTCACATAGGTAAGTATGTTTTCAAGATGTATACATGTCCATTTTTTCAATGCTTGCCGATTTTAAATGTTTTCCATTTCATTTTTATTTGACGTAGTAGCATAGTTCTGTCATTTGCATATTGTGCAACAAATAATTATGAAAAACAAATTCAACAAGGAAAGGCGGCGTTCAATGTGCACAATCCCCACACGACCAAGCAACAAGAACCAGTGACAAGGAGTCTAGGAGGACCCCAAACAAAAACAGGACAGGGCACAAGGCAGAGCATAGACAGGCCAATCACTAAAATGATACATAAGAAGAAATAATTAAAAGATTGAATAATAGCCCACAAAAAAGGCAAAGGACACAGGGGAAGAGGGTAGGAGATTCGGGGAAGAGGGGAGGGTAAATTAAAGAAATAAAACTAGGGGCAAAGGTAAAAATACTTACCGTAGACGAGAAAACAACAAGGGACACAAACAAATGTGTCAAAAAACAGTATGAAACAACAAAGACATACATCTGAGGAAAACCAAGATTGGAACATGTTCGAACTCTTTATGATAAACCATATTACTAATTGTAGTTTAAGTATTGACATTATTCATTTAACTCGAATGATTGGAAATTTTGTAGTGGAATTAATACCCTTACAATAAGCAGAGGTTAACCATAAAACAAAAGAGAATTAAAATGACTTCATCAGTACATGTAATTTCATAAGCATTTCATAAGCACTTTACGTGCTGAAAATATTATAAAGAACAACAACACAATGTAGCTGCAAGTAAATAATTAAGTATTAGTATTGGGTCAGATCACTACCAGTATAAATGGATTTTGTTATAATTTCTGGAATGAAATAAGATCATGACATGTCAAATGGCTTATAGCATTTAGGGTTAAGTAGTTTAGTACTACTATATTACTAGTTATTTCATTTTTTTACTTCATCTGGTTGAATAAGTCTTAAGTTTGAGTAATAAAATAAGTAGCAAATACAAATATAGGTAACAGTTTCAATATCATCCCTCGAGAAGTAATAGAGAGAAATAAGAATCCCTAAAGAAAGCCCAACACGGCAAAATTGAAAAAAAAGTTGCAGACTCGGTTTAATTGAGCCTGTTCATGGACGGTACTGTCAAGTGCAAACTACTGTCCACGCCCAATGCAACCAGTGGCAAACGCATTGGTGAACAGTTTTTTCTTCGGGATGAAAGTTAAATGCCAAAAGTTTATGTGTTATTTATGTAATGTTGAATAATGTGTATAAAATATGAGCTTTAAAATGATTATGGTAAAATACAAAAGTATTTAATCGATAATTTAATTATGTAACATGATATTGGCTTGTAACACAGGTAAATATTCTATCAGTTAGTCAATAAATATCTTTGATGCATGAATATTTCACAGAATGTAACTCATAATATTTTGAATAAAGTATAAAAAAATAATTTGAATTTAACAATATAAATTCATGTTGTAGATATTTAAATATCCTATATGTTGTAACTGAGGTTGTATACCACACTTAATTTTATATATATGTATATGATTATGCTTATAAAACAAATTTCAAACATCGAAGAATATGTTAAATATGTAATGCAAATATTTGTACACATGGTATTTTATCATTGAAATATATGCATTCATTTCTTATTGAAAAATTTGACTTAGTCTTTATAGAAATTAATTTTTATTACTTCCCTTTATTTACATAAAATAATGAGTTCTGTAATGTCGAAATAATGATAAATGATGCTTTTTCGACCTTGAAAAATTGATAAAATTAATCTTTGAGCATCATATTTATTATATATAAAACCATAAAAATGTGTTACAGGATCTTTAAATTAACACAAAATGTTTTAATGTGTTTTAGGGCTGATCCCTGGCAATTCACAGAACGATAAAGCTATGTGGGGAAACGGAATATATGCAGCATACTTTACAGCATGGTTATATATTATGTTTTTTTAAAGATAATTTATAAAAAACAATTTTTCGTGAAACTAACTTAATTGTGTATATATTAAACATTTTGCTTAAACAGAAAAATAAAGTTGATTTTTTTATTGTTTAGACTGGTCGAGGCTGTAGAATACCTTTGGATTTTCTTCCGATGATATATCAAAGCAATGACATCTGTTCTATTGTTTTTGTTGTCTATAAGTTCTCTTTCCCTTATTGATTATTAAATAACCGTGAGTATATTGAGTATAAATATTTGGATTTCTGGAAATTTGCTCGAAAATGTTATGGAAATAGTTAACGTGCTAATAAGCGTGGACGTAAGTAGGCATTTACCGTTGCTAAACAGACTATTTTGAAAAACATTTTCATCATTTAATGATCGGTCATAATAGGCGACCATTATATTTTCTATTTCAAAATATTGCTGCTCTTTGTTGTTTTTGTCATTACGAAGAATTTCAAGTATATTTCGAAGATTTACATCCGAAAAATAATTTCATCATAATTATCTTTTTAACAGGAATTCAGAGAAATCTTCAACGACCGGAAGTTGTACTCGTATGAACTTTAAACTATTCAATGATGATAAAACGTGGGAGCGTGAGGATTGTGACTTGAAATTGGCGGAATACATTATGTGTGAAAAAAATCAGGACGGGCAAGACAGTGGTAACTATGACAAAGTGGAGCATAACGTAATAATTGTAGGGCGGCTTTATAACACCCTAAATTTTGATTGATATGTTTATTAAGAGTCCTTTTTATATATCATCGATTTAAAGATAATTTATACATTTATTCAGACAAATATTTGTTGTTATTCATACAATTTTTGAGGGATGTTTAAATTTAACGATGTTTTCTTCCACAATTTTTTAACCCTTGACAATTCGAAGAAATGATCATCCCAAAGATAAATATGGTAACGATGCTTACATTTTTACCGAAAATGATCAAAAATTCCACTTATGTATTTTCCTTGATTATTCTTATTTGCTTCATAATTTTGAAACGCAAATACAAACTTTCTAAAGTAAGTTATGAATCCATGTTTTACAGTTCCAGTCAAGTCGTTGACAACCTTTGTTGATACTGAGCTGGCTGATGTCCCCGAGCAGATATCATCCGCGGAATATGACGGCAATGTTAGTCTCACTATTGCTGGAAAAAGCTGCAACAATACATTTTGCCGCTATAATTATGCTAAGAAAGCAATTGATTGCGAACAGACCGACGGTTTTTGGATAGAATGTAATGTTAAACGTAAGACTTTTTCCTGTGTTTGTATTGACATGCTTTCATCAAATTTTAGTTAGTTTATAAACCTTCTTAAGAATATCAATTATTTATATTTTTCTCTTTTTTGACAGTCTTAAAACTGAAATTATATAGAACTCTAGATTTATTTCATCTGTTGACCCTTTCGCTGTTTGAGCTCCATTACAATGTACAAAATTAAATATCTCAGTGAATACCAAATTTATACCCGTCTTGTTGGCAAATACATGTTATTGATAGTTGAACGGATTTTCCAATTATTCACCGGAAATGTAATAAAAAATGAAAAATAAAATATGAGAATACAATAAGATAAACAAGACAAGGCGACGTTCATAGAACGCAACCAACGACTCCCAGCCAAAGATTTGACATTGGAACGACATACTTTGTTCCATTGAATCTGTTCATCGAGTATATCAACACTTTATTGAATATAATTATTGCAGTTCCTACAAAAGAGGATTCCAGTGTTGTCTACAAGAAGTATCTAGGCACTCTCAGCACAACATTTTCTGGTAAAATGTGCCAGCGATGGGACCTTTTATATCCACATAAGCATTCGCTGCATGGACCTGTGTTCAAGGTTGGTTCAGTTGCATATTCACGTTTAATTTTTATAACAACTGAGAAACGACATTAAGTTTCAGAGTTATTCTAAACACATCAATATCGACACAGGAACTACTCTCGGTATCATAGGCTTTTTGCTGGTATAATATATACGGAAATATGTTCCGTGGTTTCCGGCGATGGAATGACATATTCATACTCCTATTTTAAGACAAATGAAACAAGGCCTTATTCAACATAACATTCATCTTAACGTCTCATATCATATTTTTCAATATCATTCGCATTGTGTTACATGGCACGTTATCTTAACAACATTAATAATAGTGTTTTGAAGGAAAGAACTTTTGATAATGAGATGGGTCGCGAAAAGTTTCTTTTGTATTTCCTTAACATTTTTATAAATAAAATGACTGAGTTAAGACTTAACTTTGAATTTGCGCAAAATAATGACTTCAGTTGATAATGAGCATTGAATACCAACACTAAAGTTCCTTATTAGTTCTCTCTCCATTGCCAAATCAGATGTTGTTCTTATATTATCATCATATTGAGATAAAAATATAATAAAAATAATCATAACGAAATTTGTGTTATACAGGGAGAAGGTATTTCTGATGCAGCTAATTATTGTAGAGATCCGGGAGATATGGGTCATCTTTGGTGTTTTACAACAAATTCTGAGACACGATGGGAACCTTGTTTGTTAAATGGTACGTTGTTTGTATTTCGAATGCTACGTAAACGTACTTAACGAAATGCAATATTTGATTTTTGACATTTCTTACTTTTTATCTAAAATATTGTCAAGAATATTAACTCAACAACGTAGTGTGATATTAAGGCTAAACTTTATAATATGTCGGCATTTTACATTTTACACAAACTCATTTCTTCAGAATTTATCAGGTCATGTTTCTGTAAACATCACACAGATTAGTTCAAGGGTTACAGCTAAGGGTTAGGATAAGTGTTATGGGTTAAAGTAAGTGTTATTGGTTATAGTAGAGGGTTAGTTTAAGGATTATAACACATGCATTTTGCTGCGAACAGATTCTAAAAGTGCTTCGATTTTAATTTAAATGTTTTTTATTATCGCGAAAAGTATATTTTTGCGACTGGACTCATTTAGTCTATTTGAAAATATAACCATTATGGATTTTATTAGTTAAAAATTATGAATTTGGTATGCATTAACGAAAACGTCATTTTAAAATTGGTAGCATTTGTTTATCTTACGCCAAACCTAAAATAAACAGTTGTAAACATTTAGTTTAACCTGTTTAATGTTAAAGACTCATTTTGAATTTGTCTAACAGAAAATAAAGCAGAGCGTCATTGTATAAATAATGACAAGTATACAGGACAGAGAAATACAACAGTTACAGGAAAATCATGCCAAACTTGGGACCGAATAAAAAATAGTAACAAAGGCATTGCAGACAATGATATCGATACGTCTTCTAACCTCTGTCGAGATCCTTACAATTACGGCTTCAATTGGTGTTTTGTTGACGTTTCAACAGAGAGTGATAAATGGGAGCCTTGCGACACTGAAGGTTGGAAACATATTTTCTTACTCTTAACATCGCTCGTTTAACTAAATATGACTAAAATAAAAACAAACTTATATATTTTTACTTCAGATAGTGTCATTCAGTCATATTAAGCGTAGTGGTCTTATTTCTTTAGTTTCTTATCTATTTTGTTATATATCTCTGCACTAAATCTCATTTTCAAATTTTATATATTGCAAAACACAGATATTTACTTATAACATGAAGCATACCACTCATGCTCAAATGTGACAAAATGCAAGATGGTATATTTATGTAAATGTTGAACAATGACAATATGCACGAAGTTTAACAACACTATTATGTTTTCAGCTGTTAGGCATGATTTTATAAGCATGAAACATGTAGTGTAATGCACTTATGAAACAGTAAAACACATTTTGACTTTATTTCATGAATAATAGAATTTGAATAGCCGTTTTAGGGGGCGTACGTGTCCTAGTGGTTAAGGTCGTTGATTTCAAACCAATCGCCTCATCCCTCTGTAGGTGCAATCAAGGAAAGCGTCTTCAGATTCTTTCACTAGCGAAAGATATCAAGCTAGCTGACGTAACGTCGATGGTTCTACTCAGGTGTCTGAAATAACGTATAGAGGGATACCTGATGTTTTCATCCACCAATAAAGCTGAAAAGTCGCTATATAACCAATGCTGTGTTAGTGCGTTGTAAACCAATATACGAAAAAAGCGGCGTTAAAAGCTGACAGGCCATTTAAGTAAACAGTCATTTGCGATCAACAATTCATTTAAAGGTCAGTTTTATTTATCCAGAACTACAACAGCCAACGCAAATTGGGGAAACATTTTTTAAAACAACAGACAGTTACTTTCATTGTGACAATGGTAAAATGTTTCCAAAAACGTTCAGATGTGATGGAAAACTTGACTGCGAAGACATATCTGATGAAATTGATTGTTCGTATTCGGGTATGTTGTTGCATGTACTCGGGTTTGTCGTTAAATTTCGTTTATGTTGTTGCTGATACCAATATATGATATTGCTTCTATTAGGGTCGGTCGTTGAATCTTTTGTTGTTGTTGTTGTTGTTGTTGTTGTTTATACTCGGGTTTGACGAATTTTATTCTTGGATATGGTGTTGTTTATACTAAGGTATGATGTTTGCTATGCTTTGGGAATGTGTCACACAAGAGTGTTTGCTATATATTAATTGAAATTATAGATATATTCCTTATAATGTTTCTGGTAAAATTACGGTCTTTTTTAGTTTTATTCGTGTTTATATTTTAGTAGCGAGGCCGTTTAAACTTACTGAAAATAGCGGGAAAACCTCACGTACGAGTGTATTGATTTCATATTTTTACCAGGTGCAAAGCCTATCAAAAGAATTAAACTTTCGATATTTGTTTCACCCGTTTTACATCAGAAAAAATCATGATGACCCCGTTGCACACTCGATGAACTTGAGCAATACAAGCTATCCGTAAAACATTTTCAAACTCTGTCTGTGACATATTCGCAAAGAAGAACAACTTTTGTCTTAGCTGTAAACGTCATTGTAATTACGTTGAATATATATGGTTGATTATTATTATTTCAAAACGTTGCCTTATTTTCTGTGTGTGTAATGGATTTGTCCAACTGCGATTTGGAACAGTTTATGTCATTCGAAGATTTAGGGAATTCAATATGAAAATACTTACTGTGAACAGAAGAGGAGCCTGGTAAGACTGCATGCATGTTCAAGCTGACCTGAGTTTAAACTGGTGGAAAAGTTTTACTATTATCATCGTTATTTACGTCATTTGTAAAGCCGATCGTTTAAGTTAACTCTCATTTGATTTAAGGCATACTGTCATATGAACCCCCTTAGATTTGAAATGATTATTACTATTAATTGCAGCTTTTAGGAAAGAGTCGGCATCCTTGACTGAGCTACGTCATTGATTTAAAACGGAAAATCATTTAATCATCGCTGCGTATTACTTTCCGTCCTATTTCTTATGTTTATTAATGTCCGGAGTACACATGTTTATGACGTTAATATCACAATCGATCACATCCATATATAGTAGAAATCAAAGAGTAGCAGGTGTCTTTTTTGTTTTAATCTTTTGGGATATTGAATAATGATATGGGGCAAAGAAAACACCTATAAAAACACTGAACCATTTTACAATATAGTACAAAATTGTACATGATAATGTATGTTTTAACATGTTTGCAGTTCATCCTATGATGATTTTTGACAATGGAGAAAATGATGATAGAACGTTCGGTAATGCATCGTTTAAGGACGGGTCTTTCTTCAGATGCAAGTCCAATGATTTGATATCAGTCATTGCAAGATGTGATGAAGTGATTGACTGTTTTGATGCATCAGATGAATTAGATTGTAGAGATGAAAAGGGTAAGTGAGTTTTAATACAAACGTTTGACAGGTGTGACAGCTGCTTCTTGTCCTTCAAGATTATTGTAACTAATAATTTTAGTGTTGAAGAATGAATACTGTTTCAAACGGTACAAGTATGATTAGCTTAAGAAGTTGAGAGATATTGCACTTTCATTATTTCTCATGGATAGACTCGATGAAGTCTGTAATTTTTAAACATTTTCATTGACATTGAAATATCTCCTGTTTATGTACTGTTAAGTTGACAGAATTAGCTAAATAATTTATGTATATGAATGATTCTTCATTTAAAATTCACTTTCTATTTTAACAATGTTGATAAATTTGTATTATGTTTACAGTAATGTATAGCTCATGTTCTATGTATACTACTCAAAATTTGCTAAGGATCACCTTTTGGACATTGCATATTTCAGTCCTATTATCATCATATTAAAATCATATTTCCGCTAACGATACACCTATACGGGAACCTCATAATCGTTTACTTAACTTTTCGATTTGTCATGTACACCTTGCACGATAAAAACGTGGAAAAGCATACCCGTGGAAATTTGGTGTTTTATGGACATGTGCTTTCAATTAAAAGTGTACAAGCAGCAAGACTTCTCTTGTTTTTTTTGTAAAACTGTGTTCGAAATTAAAAAAAAACTACTGATTGGACGTCGTCTTAATGAAGATGAGATTATTAGGGGTATTGGGATGTTTGAGGCTGACCGTTTACAATGGCACGTTGCCCATGTCCGTGGGAGTTGTCTCCAGGATGTGGAACCGATTCCAAATGACTGGAAATGTATGACTGGAAATGTCTTGCAGGGCCACGCCGGATGTCGGGAACGTTCAACGACTCAAGCCCTGAACGGATTTGTTGTCCTTCAGGCCAGGCGCCAACTGTTCTCGAACGCTACGACGTTACGTACCGATTTCTAAAATGCAACTGGTGAACGTGTAAGCACACAAAATTTTAGAAACAGGTTGCATCATGTTTGGTTGTGGTCACGGTGGCCAGCAATTCGCATTACTTTGACACAGTGCCATATTCAAGAGCGTTTGCAATAGGCGCAGACTTATGTTACATTGACAGTAAATGATTGGACTCCAGTCCTCTTCACGAATGAGTCCTGCTTTTGTGAGGACTTCACGGACATACGGGCTAGGGCTTGGAGAAGTCCAAACGAACGCTTAGTTCCGGCATGCGTGCAGAACACAACCATTTTGGCGGGGGTTCAGTCATGGTGTAGGCGGGAAGCGATCAGGGGAAAAACGGACCTTCACATAATTGAAAACGGTACACTGACGGCAGTAAGGTACGTCAATGAAATTTTAGACGTCAATGTACGCACGTACGCTGGTGCAGTCGTCCCTGATTTCATTCTTATGGATGACAACGCCCGTGCACACAGATCCCACATCACAAACCGATGTCGTGAGGAGACAACTATAGTCCGCATGGATTGGCCAGCGAGATCCTCGGATTTAAATCTAATTGAGCATGCTTTGGATATGCTGCAGAAAGCCATTTCTTCACGCCACGTCCAAGCAACAACAGTTCATAGAGGAATGGGCCCAGATTCCTCATCACAAGGTCCGCAGGCTCATCAGCAGCGTGCGGCGGCAATGCTAGGACGTAGTTAATGCCAGCGGAAACCATACTCGATATTAAACACCCTACGTCAACCATTTCCTGGTATGCAAGATTTTTTTATTCCACTATGTGATCTCCAAAATGTTGATTTTCGTCGAGTACAATGTTTCGCAACAGGCACACGTCAAGGGAAACTTATATTGTCATTATTTTCATAAAATCAATTCCTAACTAATTATATTTAATGTCTTTAAATCAATTTTTACATTTATTACAAATACACTAAAGTAACCAACTGTAGAAATAGTGATCCTTAGCAAATTTTGAGTAGTAAATATATTAACGACTTCATAATTTTCACACCTGTTTATCACCACAAAGTACATGATATTGATAAGTTAATTAATTGTGTCATCCATTTTTTCCCAGTTATTTCCCTTTTGCCAATTTGACAATAGAACCCTGTTATCTTAAATGTCCTTTATATTTATTAGTTATTAAAAGAAGATTCTGTGACTGAAGGATTTTATGTTTAGCAATCGCTGTCTTATTTACTTGTATGACCTTAAATGTCTTGAGAATATTGTATGTTTTTTTAACCAATGCTGTACACAATTTTTAAGTGATAATGTATCTCCTTCTAAAGATGTATATAATGACAATTATGTCAAATAAATATCTTTTAAAATCACATGGAATTTTGAATAACAGGTCGAGCACATAAAACGCTATTTTTTACGATTCTACAAAGCGCTGTGACTATTAAATTAAAACTTTGAAATCATTATTTGTCTAATTGCCTACACAATTATGAATACATTTCTAATGAGTAAACAGAGACCCATAAATGTTGATTTGATTTGCAAGTAGCAGCAGTTGCATTGAATATATTCAGAGGTGTTGCTAACAGCTTGGAATGTTTTATTGCAACATCTGGAAAAAAACAACAACAACAAAAAAAAACAAAAAAAAGCACACAAAAGAAAAGAAAAATGTGCAAAAGAAGCAACAAATTCTGTGAAATGATATGCTGTGCTTTTGGTGGTTATAAATTGTACATTACCAAACATTTGTCAGTTTAACCAATAGCTTTCTTTTGTTAAACAAAATCTGTCTTGCTGAAGCGGGCGTAAACGGTAGTTAGCATGTGCACTACCATCCTTCAAACCGAGCCTGCAACATTTTAATTTCTTTCCGTTTTGGACGTTTCTTAAAGGCTAATAAATGCCTCAGAAACAAATAAATTTTTACTTCCTTAGAAAGGACATACATGAATTTTATGTTTAAGTTATGATTTAAGATGAATGTTTATGTTGTTATCTGAAGAAAGTAGCGATAGATGTTGAATAATTTATCTTTTAAGTAACAGAATGTAAACAAAGATCCACAGAAAATACAACTTTTACTGTATACTATATACTGTACTTACTGCAAAAAAGGAACAATTGAAAAAGGTGGTTTCGGTAATTGGCCAATAAGACACATTTGGATACTAGTACACCCAATTTTTTTTTTTTGAAATAAAGATAAAAGCATTAATGGTGAAATAATATACAGAACATTTGGTTTTTTCTTTTACAAAACTTTATTAAACTTTATTGATATCTAGAAAATGCTTACTGATCAAATATTATTTGAAAATAGAAATGTATAAACAATGATTTAAAGCTACATTCCTTATTACTGGTCAACTTAATTTAGGCTTTTCAAAAGAAAATCATGTCAGTTTTTTAAAATGAGGATATGTATTCAATTTGAGTTTGTAGTACGTAAATTCTTTTAACGTTAGCTTAAACATTATCTTGTCTATTTGTACTTAAAGAACTTATCTTTACATTGAAAAAAGTGGTTGTAAAGCAATTATTTAAATATCAAGTTTAAGCTAAATTTATATCTTTAAGTACTAGTAATCCATTTTGTGTATGCTAGACACGTTATATATATTTGGTGACATTTTTAGAAAGCAGAACTTGCTCTGACTACCAGTTTCAGTGTGACGATGGTGACTGTATACACATCAGTCAAGTTTGTAATTTTAAGGACGATTGTATCGACGGATCGGACGAATATTGTGGTTCGTCAGCTTTTGTTAATACTTATCATGTTTAGAAGCTGTAATTCAAACTTTACGTTTTATAAAACAAGATTTCAATTAGAAACATTTTATTTTAATATCGGGGACTTCCAAAAGATTTGCAGGACTGGACGTAAATAATCTTCCTACTGTTTCATTTCTTTAGGGTTTCAAAAATTTGTTCAGTCAGCGTCCTTCTGTGCGTTGTCGGGAATTTTTATGAATGGTGTGCAGTGTTATTGATGTTTGCTCGTAAATAAATCGAAACGGAACATCACGAAACACATTACATTTGAATAAATTGCCTTTCCGATGCCTAGTATTAAAAATATATCTACGTGTAGGCACTATTGGCAGACAATCTTGTATAATTTGATGAACATTATTATTCCCAATTTTATGGGTCTTGTTAAGAGATTCATTAAATCCAAATTAATGAAAAATGGATATGATTAGATTGTCAATCTTATTCTATTTTTTCACTGTATGTTTCATTGTAATCTCGCAGTTTCAGCACTAAAGTAAATTTTATTTCTTTCCCTTGAGGTATGTCATTAAGTACTTTGTTCGTTTACACATTTAACCTTCAATTGCTAAATTGTATCTTGATTTATATATTGATAAACATGTATATTTGATAAAGAATTTGAACAATGTTCGATATTGTCCGAATATCAATGTGACAATGGTCCATGTATTGCTTCGGAGCATCGTTGTGATGCCGTTCGACATTGTACAGATGGATCTGACGAGAAGGCTTGTGGTAAGTTGTTGTTTTGGGTTTTGTTTATATTAAGGTTTTGTTTATTCAATGTTTTCCTTTTATTAATTCTAATTCAAAGTGTTTTCAATGACTTGAAATGATGGTTAATATAACATATTGCAAATTGTGACTTTGCATGATAAGCATGCAAAACTTGAAGATGTAGTTAATTTAGTTAAGCGTAAGCTAAAACTTAGAACTTAAGGAGGCATCCAAAGAACGAAGTTTCAGGATATGTAAGCTACATAAGGCTTAAAACTTATGGGAAGAAGAAGAATATTGATTATATAAGACATGTAAGACATTAAGTATAAGCTAAGTCTAACCACCAGTGACAAATGAATGTTACGAAAACAAATGATTGTGTGAAAAGGTACAAGTATATTAAGACATCAAGTAATATTTAACATAAATATATCAAATTTGCTTAAAATAATTATATTTATCAAAACAATACATAATATTCTTAATTGACTTACATAGAAACATAAACATAAATTGCAGTTTACCTATGATAATGTTTATAGGGTTGTAGGAATAATTTCAAATTATCACCGTTTTTAAGTCAAACCAAAAAATAAATACATTGTAAATAAAAATAATTCATTAAACTTTTAAGACAGACCATTTCATTTCACACAAAATACATATATTAACCGCATCATATTTGCCTAGATGAATGCCAACCAGGAGTAGCTTTCCATTGTGATTTTGGAAAATGTTTACCGTTGAGGTTAACATGTGACGAGTATCAGCATTGTGAAGATGGAACAGACGAATTAAATTGTGACAACAAGGTGTTTGATTCGTGCCAAGATGTATGGGAAGCTGGGTATAGAAAATCTGGATATTATCATATATTAGGTCAGTAACATTTAAGCACTGCTTTTTTATGATTGACAAATTGTAATAATGTATGCGTTAATAACTACAAAAAGTCCTGTCATCGATATTTAAGTCATTATACGTGGACTAGAGTGCAATTTCGAGATAGAAACTCCTTTTATAAACCAATATTTCTGTTGCTTTTTAGAGTTTCCCTGTATATTTATTGGGTCAAAATGGTATACTGATGATGTTAGGTGGTTATAGCTAGACAGAGGTTTTCTCTGTAGATGTATTTTATTCTGTTTGTTCTAAAAGTAGATACTTGATCAGTCTATATCAATATTGTTATAAGATTGCATTTTATAATGATATTAATTTGTTTATTTAACATATTCTTATTTCACTTTGATGTACTTCATTCAATGATTTAACTTTTTTTGTAGATAATCAGCAACAGCTCGAGTGCTTGTTTGATCAGATAGAAACCGATATTATTAGAACTGTGTTCCATTTCGATTTAAAATTTGTGTCAGTAGACCTTGGTAGTTTCCTGTTAGTGGATTTTCAAATGTTACGTATCTATAATAACCCAGAAACTGAGGAAGAGAACGTGTTAAATTCTGTGATATATAATGGAGATAAAACGAGCTGTATTCAACAGGTATTTTGAAGTTTTGTATTTTATGTATAGTTTTACTTACATTGTGGAAATCTCAAAGGCCGCCAAACGCGAAAAAGCAACAATGGTACAGGTGTGCTTGATCTAGCCTCTTATAGAAAGACAATGCTATATGCAAGCTACCATCCAGTCCCATAGCACCAGTTTAATCAAACACTTAATGTTTATATTTAAATCGTAAATGGTGTTTTGTATACCATTTATAAACCAGATTACTTGATGAGGTCATCTACGGACCATGGACAATTTCTCTTTCAACAAAGTAACATAAACTATGGCTTGTGTTTTTTAAATATTTGATTAGACAAGGTTACTACAATAACTGTCACTGTGACCGTGACATGTGACTTAATGACCTCAAAATTAATTTTATTGGCCAAGACAAGTTTAATTGATCGAAAGTGGATTACAGCATGTATGTACAGCTTGATCTGCAATCAATGTTGAAGTGAGGCGGGAGAGGCAAAAAGTGTGTCTATTTACGCAACAGCATTGTTGTTGTAAAGTTTGTAAAAGAATAAACAAAAGCAGCAAGTTCTTAGTAAAATCAGATTTTTGCTTTGGCAAAACTGATTTAATGTTAT